CCGTACATGAACAAACGAGGCACCCTCCCACCTGGTAAGGAGGGGAGGGGATGGCCTTCTAAGATACGACACAAGACCAAGTCGTATGGTGAAGGTCTCCGAAGATGACAAGATTGAGGGGGGCTGTCAGATCGGAGGTGTTCGGGAAGCCACATGAGAAACTGGTCAGCATACCTGCTCTTCCCTACTCTGGCCTGGTCTGCACATTCCCCTCTTCCTCCCCGGTCAACCCCAGTTTGCAAATCAAGAAACGAACATCCAAGTCGATATAGGCAACAAGACGACCACCTGGTCCACCGAGCGAGACTGCAAACAAAGACAGAGCCGTCGGAACCGCTGAGGCTCGTTTCGGATCGACAGGGAGTGGCTACCCACAGACAGTGGAGCAATGTATGGCACAACTGTGCAGTGTGGTGATCCAGGCCAGTCATGAATATGTCAAGCACATAAAGCGAGAAAATTTGACTTCTCATAGGTAGTTGGTGATTCAAAGGACCGTGTGGACACTGCGACTTATACTGCATATTATTTCTTGTCTTGGCATTGTACATAGTCAGCCAGGTTGGCTGCACTTGACAAACCATCAAGACCATGAGACCATGAGACCAAGAGACCACCTATTATTGTACGATAATGGTGTCTCTTGGTGCATTTTCTAATTGTGGGAAATGCCAGGCTTCGTGGACGAGGACCAACCTCAAAACCCTAGTTTGCTTTTGCTCTTTTTTTGGTTTTTCTGTCTTTTGTCTTGTTTGTTCTTGGCACAAAAACAGGAAAAGCTCAGGTGCAACACGCCGAAATATGGACACATGGTCAACCCGCCAAAATTATAACGGTTTCACCAAGAGGAACAGGAAATATAAAAATAATAAAAATAATAAAAGTAAGAAGAAAAAAATAACAAACATAAGGGAGGATGACTGGGCCTTTTTTGATATCGTCACATTGGATAGGTCCGGTCTCGCCGCCTTCTAAGGTTGTAAGCATCTTTTCGTCTTCGTAATTTACTGCCTCACCCGGTCATAAGCGAAATCCAAGGCAAAAAGCGTCATAAATCACTGCCAAATGGAGAAATGAAAATACATGCGGAGGAAACTAGTAAATGTTCGGTTCGAGGAGGGGTGTGTGGCAACGGTAACAGGGCAACAAACACAACGCACTTCGTCGCGAGCTGCAGTTTTATGCAAAACACCACCCACATAATTCAGCGACAAACCATCCGCCTGCTTCCCTGCCGCACTCATGCAGGTCTCAGCTATGATGGTTACAGCCCTCTTTTCTTCCCGTCTTCATTTAGCCCCAAAATATTTGAGCCCGTGCTACGTTTTACTCTTGTGCTTCTGAGCACGGCATGTCGGCCAGCGAAGAATACAAATAATTAGGGGAATTAAAAATAATACGACGCACCAGAGTGATTGGGTGGTAGGCACGAAGAAGCAAGACTGAAGAAAGTCGACTGCTCATATGCATGTTTACGAAAAGAGTAAGAAATTTATCACTTTTTCTTGTCATTTTGCATTACTTGTGTGATGAGAAAGGCGGAAACGAGGATGAAAGGTCAAAGACAAAAGTAGAAAAATATCGAAAAATATCAGTAGAGATAAAATACGAGGGTCGCAGGTCGTATGGCGCATCCTTCCTGCTGTGCTTGTACGCCAACCCGGCTCCTTTTTGGTGTTATTCCATCCTTCTTGTGTCCTCTTACACTCCCATTCGATTCCAAAGCTCAGCTGGCAAAGCCACACACACAAACACACACACATCCAACCGTCGACTGCCGGGTCAACTCACACAAAACCAAACGTTAATTGGGTAAAAAGGGTAACATGGGAAAGTGGTGACCCAAAACTGTGAACATGTGGCCATGTCAGGGTCCCAGCTGAAAGGGCACCGGGACGGATCGTGGGAGGACAAGATGCCACAACAGCGCTCACTGACGACACAACAAGACACAAAAACGATACCGTCGGAGAAAAATGACGAAGTGCCAGTGAAGGCAGTCCACTTGACGTCTTGGAAAGGAGACGAACACAGTGACAGGAGGGAGCGCACCATGATACAATGAGTCTTTTTCCGTACCATGACGATCCTACCAAAATTGGGATTTATTACGGGAAAATTTGTTTTCATCATATTTCCATTAGTAAATGCATTCTTTATTGTCAACAAATGTGCATGCACCCGAGATATGACGAAGTGATACTTGGTCGCCGAACAAGAAAGTTTCTCGGATCAGAAGCAGGACGAGTCATCTTGTGCACGCTACGTGTGGTGCAGTATCTGCATTTCTTGAAGGGATTTGCCTTTTGATTTTTCTGATTTTTTTTATAAAAATGTAACACCCGTGTTTTGCTGTGCTTCCTTGTTTGACGTGCAGGTACGAGTATTCGAAGCTGGTCTGGCGGCGCGGGAACATACTCGTGTACGTATGGATGTGACTACGGAGTATTTTAGTTCTACCTATCGCGGCGCTCTCTGTACACTAGAAACGACTTACGAGACATCCCTTTCCTCTCTATATCCTCGTACATACGTTTTAATGTCTCACGAGGCGACCAGAGTCTCGGGACGGAGTGCGAGTGGGTGGTATGTGAAGGCACATAGTACCATGTTGTACGATGAAGCTATATTTTTCACATCCACAGGTCGAGCATCATTAGCACATTCCTGTAATTCACCCTCGTCGTCCTTGTTCCAGAATATCTGTAATCACCCCACCAGACGGCAAAAATATTTTTAATAAAATACAGAAGATTGCCATATTCCTTGTAGCCATTCTGCCTTTTCGCTTTTCTGTCCCTTGGACCTGTCGTGTGAGCCTCGCAGTGGGCGTGGCTTTTGTCGACGGGTCGGGTGCATGGAGGAGACGCAGGTGTATGCACGTTGACAAGCAAGCGTTGGCATATGCAGAAAACTGCAGGTAGATGTGCAGAGTGCATGCATTTATCATTTTTCGTTCCAGAAATTTAGTAAGGAGAAAGGCAGTTACCGTTTGTACAGCGCACACAAACATGCATTCACATACATACGCGAAATCAGTGCCCTTCAGAACATTCTTACTGGAGGAAAAATGACAAGAGTGAATTCGCCGCAACAGCCGCCAAAAGTATATCAAACTCTGGCAAAATATCAGAGGCAGACGCAACACAACACCGGCAGAGTGAGGTCCTTTTGCTCCGATGCCTTTGTTTCCGTGGAAGAAAAACGAATGGGGATAAATGTAGTGCACAAAATGGCACTCGTCGTAATCTAAGGGAGATCAGCCTCGTGTTCCCTTTCCACTGCCTCGAAGGAGCTCGTCATGCCCACGCGTCCTCACGTCGCGCATGTACAATCCATGTCAGCCTGTCCAATCTTTAACCTTTGTCGATTGCCAGAGGAGGTACCACAGTTTCCGGCAGCCCTGACTGCATATGATCGTGTGTCTCCCACGTATGCATACCTTCGTCTCACCTGCAGGCGACCTCCCACCCAGTCTTATTCTTCAGCTCTCTCGCCCCAAGGCCGAGTATGACATACCACATTTTGGCGCAGCATCCTGATGCATTTTCATGCACGAGGGCGTGTGCATTGATGCCCTTCAAGATGCATTTTGCGCCGTCCACAGTGATGCACACATAGGGGTGACATAGAAGGAATGCCGAACTAAAAGACCAGATGAGTATTCTGTCAGGTGTCCTAGCCTGTGTGCCATCGGTTCGCGTGGTGGATTGGCATCTGCATATACAGGACACTTCAATCAGGGCCGGCAGCTTGTCCACCCCCAGAGGTAGTCAACGGCCGAAGTATACGGTACTTTCAATATATGGAGTCACGAGCAGCGCATCTAGACCATAGAAACCCACCGTCGCATGCTCTTTTGTGCGCCGTGTGTGCCTCGTCGCTTTTCTTTGAAGATTTCAGTGTGATGGTTTCTCCACTTGTGTATATTGTTGCGGTATCATGCAAAATTGCGTGCATTTCTTTCCGTCCGTCTGCATTTGCATAATGCCGAGGAGGGGGGCCATGCACGAACGAGGGTCAGAAATTAGAAACAAGTAAACGAGAGTGGGCAGGTAGAGCTCCAATGTATTATGGGATAGTGCATCCGTAGATGCTGCATGCGATTATGTATGCGTTGTCAATATGGGGCAAGAGAATGATCGCTGAGAAGACAAAATCGTAAGGATGACCAAAAGACAAACCGGGAAGCTAGTAGTTTCCCCCCGGATGGAGCAATTAGGCGGAGCATCTGGAAAAGGATTTGGATGGGACGTGATAATTAATGGAGGGGGTGCCATTGGGAGTATCGATGACTTTTGGATTTTGAACCGGTCAGTCAGGCACCAGGGCACAAACTTGAATATGATATGAAGGTAAGCGCGGCAACCGGTGACGCAGTATGGGAATTATACAGCCATGTCGGGATTAATATGTCAAAGACACCCTTCAGACTGCAAGTTAAACCGGGGCAAGCTGCAAGTGATAGCCCGGACAGACTTCCCCGGGCGTCCTCTTCCATGATCGGCATGCTACCTTGCCGTTCGTGCCGTAACTGTCGTGTGGTAAGATGCTCTAGATGGACTTCATTCTAGAACAACTAATGTGGGAGGGTCGCTATCCATGGGTAAACCATGGGTTATTATTCTGCTGTCACAGGTCAACAAACGGCTTCGACTATTATCCGATATATTGTTGCTAGTTCAGAAGAAACTGTCTAAAGAACGGTGCACATCGTCTGTTGAGAGGAGATCGGCATAGTAAATGCAAACGAAAACAAAACAAGCCTCCCTTGGGCTTCGTCTGAGAGGAGATGGTCTGGGCCTGCGTAAGTACGCATCCATAATGACAAAGCAAACGCGAGCCTTCTGTTAACTGTCACGCAACAACGGCGTGTGTGCATATTCCATCCTTTCGTACTTCATGTAATGATCGCAAGCCATACCTTCACTAACTTTGATGAGGCAAGCCACATCTCCACCTGAACTGTGCATAATGAAGCCAACGGCCTTCTAGCTGGCCTAGTTCTCGATGGCCCAGGCGACGAAGATGCCATGGCGTCTTCTAACCGAGGCCGCAACTGATTCCTTGACAGCATCGGTCCGCTTCTCAGCAATGGCGTTGATGAATGAGATAACCTCCATGGCGGAGTCATGGATGAGCTGGTTGGTCACGTTGATATACAATCCTGGGACAGTGTCCTGTGGGAACGTGAAAAGACGTCCATCTGCCAGAGCCTGCAGCTCACGAGCCGCCTCGGCGCCTGTCATTGCGGCACCTTCAACCTGGGTGTAGAGCTTGTCCGAGGATTTGGCGCGTCGCTCCTGCTCCTCGGGCAGGCACTCGACATAGATCGGTACAAATTGCCGACCAGCATTGCGGGCGGCGTTCTCATAACGCCGCGCACCTTCAGCACCCACCTTGTCGTTAGCACGGCAGTCGGTGAAGATGATGACGCGCTGCCGCTGGACGGCGTCGACTTTGCCATTCTTGATAGCCTCGTCATCCTCGTCACCGTATACAAACTTTCGGAAGCAGGCCTCCTGCTTCGCCTGGAGAGGGGGCGAGAGACCGTCTAGACCGGTCATCAGACGTCCGCCCATGCACTCGCGACCGGGGCAACCACGGCCAGGGCACTCTTTTCCCGGACAAATCCCACCATCCGCGCCAGCTTCGCTACAGACGTTATAGCGGTGGGTGTGGGTGTTGCCGTTGATGTCGCCAACGCTCAAGCCACGCGGGCGGCCACCACTGCGGCTCACATGGCGAGACATAAGAGCGTCCCGAGGGAGATTCAGCTGGTCGGTAAACTCGCGGTCGTCAATGACCACGGCGCGGTCTTGGCCGAGCAGCTGGCAAATACACTGGGCCAGAGCCAGCTTGCCCATAGCAGGCCAGCCGTTGATCCAAATGATCGGCTGAACAGGCCGAAAAGGAGCAGGCATGTCGAGATGTTCGGGGCGGCTTCTGTTGATGCGTATATTTGTTGTCTCGAAGCTGCAAAGTCGTATCGACATATAGTCTGCAAAATCTGTTAGCCATTAGTAGTCGATCAATATAGGGGAAGACAGCAAAAGGCCACCTCGTAAAGTACTGTATTTGATTATTTCATTACCGGAGCAGAAACAGCGGACGTCTTGGAGCGCAAATGGCAGTGTTGACAGTGGATGATGCCGCTGTGAAGAAAGCGGCCCAACGTTGATGGACGACAGTTGATGCAGATGTGGCTCTTCTTTACGCTGGGAAGCTTCGGCGGAACGTTTCTTTCCACAATAAAAGCGTCCTTGCGTGCTTTTCTGCAGCCGTGATTCAAATGCTTGGATGGTTTTTCTTGCTTAGCTGCCAAGCCAACTTCTTGTACTTGTTATTGGTGTCCTATCGTGACAGGTTCGCTCGCTTGCTCGCTTCTCGCCTGGCACAGGCTCTTGAGAGATCGAACTCCTGGTCTCGAAGATTGACTTTATTGTGCTTCTATACGAGGACATGTTCTGACGGACGCGTAGTGGAGCGCAGCCTGATTGTTTTGATTGCCATGGTAATGTGATGTATGGGACAATCAGAAAAAGAGAACTGCTAAGCCAAATAATAGTGGGTTTTGCATATCTGTTTGCTATTTTTCTGGCAGCTTCTTCAGTGATTTTTTTTTCACGATCAGATCTAAAAATTAAGAAAAAAAATTCTTTTTCTTTTCGCTGCTGCCTACGAACACAGAGCTCCTTCTCTCTTCGACAACGTTGAGGTTCCCTTGTGACCCGAAAATAACTCGGAACGAGAAGAAGCCGGCCCCAAGAGAAGGAAGGAGGTGTGTCTCTAGCCACTCAGTTTGGTAAGAAGGTGTAAGTACTCCAAAAGAGAAAGAGCGAACACTTTTCACAATGTCGCTCGTGCCTTCCTCCCACGATCATGAAAAGGAGGACGATAGATTGGGACAGAAGAAAACATATTTCCTAATTAGGAAAGTAACGTTTGGCGCTAAACTAAACCAGCGAATCATAGCCCATAGCACCGAAAGTACGGGAGAAAACAGCCTGGACCAGTACGCGTTCCAGATGTTATCGTTCCCCCATAAATAGTCCCTTTTACGCGTCGTTCTTTCTTCCTGTTGCAAATCTATTGTCCAGCTCGTTGAAGGAAAGAGCGGTAGACAATGAGGCGCAACGCGACGATTGTTCTTTCCTTTCCCTTTCGTCATCTCCCCACTTTCTTGCTACCCACAAGCAACAAACCACAAGCGATGTAAAGCCTACCTACAAAGCAAAAGACGGATTCGAAGGGGGAGGATGGGGCGCAGCTCATATTGGGCTCTGTAGAAATAAAGAGTTTAATGAGTTTTGAAAGCGATGTGCAAAAATCGGCCGGACCAACGCACTTGGACAAAGAAAGCGGACATGCAGGAGAACAAAGAAAACGCTACAAGCTGCAGACGCCGGATCTGCAACGGTGCCGTGACCAGCCAACAACAAAAAGGGCACCACACACACGAATACGAAATTAAAGGAGTACAGGTGCCGTTTTTTAGTACGACCGGTTGCCGGACTCCGTCCACAGTAGCGACTCCCAGAAAATTTCACCGAGTATGAAGCAAGTGTCCGGTGCCACGAAGTCGGGAGATTGCAGGGAATACCGGTCTTGTGCTTCTTTGTTTGAACGGAAATAAATTGCGACTTGTTTCGAATAGGATTTTGGAACTAAGTAAAGAGACTGGCAAGACAAATTGAAAGAAGAGAAAAAGGATAAGGGTCAAAAGAAGACAGTGGTGATAGATAGGAAATTCGTCAATCATTAAACCTCTGTCGCCATGAAAATTAAAACGATACTTGCGAAAGGAAATAGGGTAAGTATCTCGGTATATAGAGGCAAAAAATAGAAGGAGAGAAAGTGAAAATAATATAATAAAAAACGTGAGAAAGGTAGAAAGAGAACAGATCAAACTGAGCTCTCAGTCGCACTTCCCCCCGAGATACTCAATATTCTGGCGGACCTCGTCCGTCAGGTCACCACGGTTGCGATATACGTACGAAGCGGTCTGAGGCCAAAACTCGGGGTGTGGAAGTGGCAGCTCAACAACGTCGCCGGCATTCACACGGCACGACAAGATGATAGCCGCAAGGCCAGGCAGGCCGCCAAGCGAAGGATGAGGGCCTGTTACTGTGTTAGTTTTTCAACCAGATAAGCAGTAACGACAGATAGAGACAAACGCCGGAAGAACATACGAATAGGAATAAGAACACTGCCGTCCGCCTGGAATTGGTCTGGTGGAGCGAGCTCCTTCTGGCTCGGCTGGCGGCTATGCCTTCCAGCAGCCTGCTGACGAAGCTTGGGAGGTGGGCTGTCCGGCGTGTTTGGCGAGAGGTCGGACGCAGGTCTCTTCATGCCGGTCTTGTACTTGATGGAATTTCCACCGCCGGCCGTGACAGGAGTAGAGGGCGGCTGTGCAGGCGGTCCGGCATTGGCCGACGATGACAACGCAGACAGCGGCGAACCAGGTGTGCCCACAATGGGTGAGGCAAGGATGTTGACGCTTGATGGGTGCCGGCGGTCGGTAGGCGGCCGCGGCACAGCGTCCAGCAGCTCCTGCAGGTTGAATTCACGTCGCAGCTGGAACGAGGCCCTATTCTTGTTGGCAGGCACAATATATGCAGAAACCAGCAGGCGTCCCTCGGGAGGCGGCGTCAGCCCGGCCTCGCTAGCGCCGCCGCCTTCGTTCTTGGCCGATGACGCGCCATTGCTGCTGCTGACGCTGCTGCGGCGCGGATGGCAAAGGTGCGTGGCCTTAACGTTAACACACGGCGAAAGCGTCCGTGGGGACTGCAGCGGACTGTACGGCGAGGAGGCTGCAACGGCAGACAGCGGAGCATAATGATGCTGCTGGTGCCGGTGATGCTGTGAACCTTCAGGGGTGTTGACCGTCACCAAGGGCGTCAGGTTTCGGCGGCTCGTCGGCGGAGGCAGGCTGCGTCCTTGGGTTAGACCCGGCGAAGGTGACTGAGACTGCGGCGGCGGCGGCGGCGACTCCTTTGACATCGGTGACTGTGGGAGGCCTGACAGCAGGATGGCACGGTTCTGTGCAAAAAAGGCCGATCCGGTGGACATGACCTTTTCGGAAGCTGGAGAAGCCGATCCACCGCCAGCGCCCCGTTCAGCAATGGGGCTGTTCAGGGCGAAATCCCCGATTCTCATTGCCAAATCAGCACGTGCAGACGACGGTGGTGGCGTCAACATGCGTGCGGGGCCTTCCGTAATCGGGGCCGACATGTGTGCCGCCGACGTGTCGATGGAGACGGCCATGTTGCTGGAGACTTCGGGTGCCTTGCGAGACTGGCGAGGCTGTGACTGTGAGGGCTGCGGCAATGCCGGTGGAGGTGAGGACGAGGAGGATGGTGGAGACGAGCGACGATTGATGACCTTGGTCAGGCGAGGGGCCATGGCTCAAGGGGGGTACTGGGCGAAAAGCAATTGCAAAGATGGTAAGGAAGGAAATGCGAGTGATTCGTCTGTCTCGTCTCTACCAAGTCCTGCCACGTTGATCAACAGCAAGACAGTTGGGAGAGTGGAAAATCCTGGAACGATGCAATGAAGACAAGGCAAAAGAGAGTCGGGGAGAAAAAAATTATGACCGAGAAAGATGGCCAGATGCGGGTGTGAATACCATAAATAGAAACCAGGAAAGTCCGGGAGAAAAGGCAGTAAACAGAAGAAAGAAAATGAGAAGAACAACTAAAACCAGAAACAGGAAAGTTTTCAAAGATCAAAGCAGTCGAGATGGTTGGGAGGGACGGATAGAGGGTGTGCTTCCACACTGAGTAAAGTCAACACACTTCTTTTTGTTTTCGTTTTGTTTTTCCTCTTGTTGATCCAATAATTTGCTAGGCGTCCATCCTCTGTCCGATGCCCAGCAAACACGATGTTGGAGTCTGCATGCCTTGAGTTAAATCAAAAAGAAGGGAGAAGTGAAAGATCGAAAGAAAGAAAATGAACAGAAGGGAGGAGAAATGAAAGAAAATAACACAAACGAGCGGCCAGGGTGGATGTTAAAGGCTTCAAATACGAAAAGGGGGGCAACACCAAAAGAAAAAAAAATCTCGAAAGATGAAAGAAAGAGGATGAAGGATGCAAAAGAAGAAAGAAAGGGGAGAAATGCCTCAGCTGGATGAACTAACAGTCTTTGATGCTGTGCCACACCAATGCTCAACGACAAAGAAAGCAGAAACCACAGCTGCAGTCACACACACCACATGAGACTACTGCTGCGGCTACGTCCTGCAGTCGTCGGATGAAAGAAAGAAATATGTAAGAAAAGGAGAACCAAGTGGGTGTGATGGGGTGCCGTCGTCTCCTTTCGGCGAATCACCATGAGTTCCAGGTGTTGGAGCGACAAGTTGAACAGACAAGCAATGTAAACATGATCTATCCTGCACGGCCAGGCTAGGGCTTGGTCTTGGGTCTGCTATCTTTACTTCCTACTTTTTGCCTTGTGTTCAAGACCCTGACAAATTTTCATGGTTTTCGGATTTTCTTTCGACGCGGGTGGACAAACTGGCCAGCGCCTAAAATATATGGTGGAGAGAGAACAAAGGCTGTCTGGGCCAAGTGCCGGCCCAACGGTGACGCGACTACAAAGAGAAGCGCGCGAAAAGGGCGATAAAGGGGTCTTTTTCGGAGGGGCCACGAAAACGAAGCACAAAAGAAACGAGTGGAACTAATAAAAACAAACAAACAAAACCGGGCAAAAGTCGAGGCGGTGCTCACGCCGGGCGAACATAAGAAAGAAGGAAACAAGGAATACATCAAAGGGGGTTGGGCAATGAGGTGGCCTAGCTGTGTTGTGACAAAGGAACGTCAAGAAAGAAGAGAAAGGGGAGGGGGGGTTGAGGAGAAAGGAAGAAAAGAAAACAGATAGCAATCGAACGAACCATAACATGAACGGACTCGGCAGGTCGTGTCT